CTGTGGGAGTGGGACCTGGCTACAAAAGACTCCCAAAAAGGGCTTAATCAACCCCACCTCCTGTTCTCTCAGTATTAGTGCCCTCAAGAAATTTAAAAAAAAATCAGAGTTTGGCGTGTTCCATTTTGGCGGGCCAGGTTCACGGGTTCAGATCCCGGGCGTGGTCCTATACCACTGGTCAGCCATGGTGTGGCAGCAGCCCACATGTAAAACGGGGGAAGATTGGCAACAGAAATTAGCTCAGGGCTAGTCTTCCTCTGCAAAAAACAAAAAGAAACTTACAAAAGGTTTAGGAAATTCTACCTTAAATGGCAGTTCTTGAGTGACCTTTTTTACGGGATCAAAGTGAACTTTATGTTATGCCTAAGACTGACATAATTTTAAAGAAAGAAAGAAATGGGTTTTATGGTCTTTCTTTACAAAATTATCTTCTTAAGGTGTTCCGATATCGAGATGACTAGCTGCCTGTTCCTCACTTGTACCAAACCCTTTCCATCAAAAAAGCACTAAATTCAATGATTTGCGCTGTTAGTACGTTGCTGTAGTTAAAAAGTATTTGCTCACCCCAGGGGGCCAGGCAAAGGCTATTGACATGCTCGCTTGATGTATGAAAAGACAAATTAGTCTTCCATCCTATCTAACAGCAGGGTACAATGACCTGACATGGAAAAGTCAACTCAAACCACTGTGTAATATATTTACATTTTTTTTTCCAGGAAACTTCGGAGTTACCAAATCAACTGTGTCTAGTGTGCAAATTACATGCCAGCTAACAGATGTGAAATAAATTTGAGGAAGGTTGTGTGGTTTAGCTTGACTGTGCAGGATGCACTCGTGGCCATGGTTCGTCCTGGAGGAATCTATGGTAGCATTCAGTCGGGAGAGGCAGAGAGAAAGGAGATGAAACAAAAGGCTGTTTCTGGATATGACTGCTTGTTACTCATTGCCATCTCCTGCCCCTTGTACGTGCTGAGCTGTTTTCTAATGGACTAAGTGATGTGAGAGAGGAATGTCTCTTTTAGAACACTCAGCTGGAGTAAAGGTGACTGAGTGAGCAAGGATGGACACAGTGTGGCCTACTCTTCCTTCTTGTGCTAGGAAGACAATTCAGGGTCCCATGGGTCTGTTTCTTGAGTTTAATAAACAGAATATGTTTGTGTTTGGTTTTTTACTACCGTATAAAGTAATTGAATTTCCTATAAAATGAAGAGGTTCTCACATTTGCTTTATAACACCATTTGCACTAATGAGAACACAGTATTAGGGAGGAGAAAAGTTTAGACCTTTTCATTATGTAGATCACAATTAAGGATTGCGTATAGAACCAGTAATCAATGGAAAATGAAATTTCTCTAAATTTCTCCTGTTGGTGATTTGAAGGAGTAGTTAAGAAATAATTTTTATGAAACTATCTGAAAATTCAGATAATGAACTAACCAACTAACCACTGTTCTGTTATAGATTGGAGAAAAAAGCAGTTATAAAAGATGGCCATATTATCTTAACGAGTTCCTTAAAACTTGCTCTTTCCCAGCATTTATACAATGCCATCCTCAGTTAAACTCCATTGGCTTCTAGAGAAGACAGTTTAGGCCTCAATGCACATGACAAATACTTATTGGACATGAATATATTATGGTGCTATATTGTAACTCATTTTACAGAGTAAATAATGTTATAATAATAATGCCATAAATAATATAACAGAACCATCCTAAACTTGTCCAAATCAAGCACAGACAAAGCAAATTTTTTTCAGGCCTAAATATCCATCTTTTATTCATTCAGCAAACATTTGTGATAGACCTAGTATGTACAAGACGCTAGTCCTAGTTCTCAGTGGCAAAAGTTTTGGAAGAGTTGGTAACTGGGGATTTGAGGGTGCCTGATTGACTATAGTAATAGGGGACTAGAGCTCTATTTATTTTTCCTGCTTCAAGTTCACATGAAATAATGTCTGCCCGTCAAGTAAAAGACCCCCAGTCTCGGTTTCTGCAGTCTATTTTGAGGCCCAGAATTTAGGAGCAGGTGAGTTCTGAGTCTGTCTTACTGACGGGGTAAGACAAATCAGACAAGGGTTTCATGAGAAAAGTGGTCAACTGAGCGTTAGCCAGCTGGGCTCGCAGCCCTGCTTCTACCCTAAACACCTGGCTAAACTTGAACAAGCATTTAACCTCTCAAAGTGTGTAAAGTTTTCACCTATTAAATAAGGGGGTATTAATGGATGGTTTTTAAGGTCTCCTCCAGCTCTAAAATCTGATTAAGTGAAGTGAAAACAGTAGGAAAAACATTGAAAGTGATAGATAAATGTGAGATGTGACGCTGAGGATGACAAGGACAATGACAACTCAACGTCTGTATATAAGTAGACCTCCATATACCCCATGTCTATTTCAGTTTAGTACACCTGTTTTACTGCCTCTTTGGGCCCCAGAGTCCAATGGCAAAGCATTGTTAGGCCAGGGGATGACCAGGCTGCCTGCCCCCAGCCTTCTCCCTCCATGGTGCTCGGTGTTGTCTCCTGAATAAAAGTGAAGCCGGAGGCTAGGGGAGCTCAGAGGGCTCTGCTCAGCCTCTCTGACTGCAAATGTGCTACCCAAGAGGCGGCAGGTTGAGTCAAGAAGACTTTAAACCAAATATTGGCCTTTTCTAGTCCTCGGATTCCTCTTCCGTAAAATTGGGATCATCAGACCAGTTCAAAAGACCATTATGAGGATTAACTAAAGAAAAGTATGAAAAGTACTTGTACATAGGAGTAGGCAGCTGCTAATATTGTTGTAGTTGAGGCTCAAAGCATGTCACTTCTGCTACACACCCTGCAGATCAAAGTGATGCCCCACAGTGACCATGCAGACCCCAGGAACTCCTCACCAAGCTTCCCCAGGAACATCCATGTCCGTGTGTCATCCGTGCTCATCCAGCAAACAGCAGCAACAACAGCAGGCGTTTTCTAGTGCTTATTTCTCACAGTGATTTCCTCTGCATGGTTTCATTGGATTTTCAAAATTAGGCTGTGAGGCAGGTAGAGCAACTCTTGTTTTCGTCCCAGCTCTCAGGCCGCTGCCTTACACCTGCCCATGGAATGACACTCGAGGGGGTGCCATCCACGGGGGAATGCAGTGTGAGTACCCCCACCCCCACAGTCCCACAGAGCCGCGGTACTGCCACTTTCAGAATAGGAAACTGAAGCCCAGAGGTTAAATGAATTGTCGACTTCCTCATATTCACTAATCCCCAAACAAAATAACCATCAAGAAATATTAAAACACACATTTTATTAGTTTCATTTAATTTCTTAATTGCTCAAAGTCAGTTTACCCATTTATTGCTGTGTGAAATGCTTAGAGGCAAGGCGCACATTAAAGGGATTATTTCCATGTAATCCCTCCCTCCCAGAGGGTAGGAACTGATCACTTATGAATCCTGATTTACGCTCTGTAACAATATCAAGTGGAGGAAATAGTTATTGTAAAATGATAGAGTCAGTAGTCGGGTAATACAGGAGGAGAGTGTAATTTAATAGCAAAGAGAAAGTACCTCATTTTCGGTAAAAGTTATGCGAGCCTTTTTCAGGAATAGCTATTAACCAAACTGAATTTAGCCTCCCATTTTTCTGGCTATACCTCTGCTAATTGATAGATGTTGAAGATGTGTAGGCTGTTAAGATTTTAATCAAACGGTGTCTGGGAGTAGATGTGATCATTTTGCCGGGACTTGGAGTTCTGGGGATAATAATTGCTCTGGGTATTACACGCTCTGTGACAGCTCGCCTTCCGCCAGCCTTCCTTCTTGGCAACAAAAAGAGTGCAGGAACTCAGTGGAATTTGGAGGGGTGCTGCAAATTACACAGGAAAGGGAGATGAGGCTAGAAGCGGGTCCAGGTAAATATCCCCCAAGAAACTTGTGACAGCCTGAACTTCTGGCAATTTCCATGGTACATCATACCTGGCCTGAGACCATTAAACTCCAGAGGAGTGGGAAACCCATTAGTGACCCAGGAAAGAGCTTTTTCTTGTTCTGTTGCTGATACATCTCTCCCTGTCGCAGTACCTATAACCCAACTACATTATTTTAGGAGTGTTGTTACTATTCTTGGAAGGAATGAAGAGTGATAGCATCAGAAGAGAACAGAGGTAAATCCAGTCCTTACCAGCAAGTTCTGCCCCCCTCAGACAGCACCCAACCCAGAGAGGGGCCACGCCTGACAGCACTGGAAGGGGCAGTGCCTCCATTTCAGGCCCACCCTCCTCTGATATCTGAGATTCATTCTCTACCTTTAGAGTCAGCCTAATACAAAGAGTATACAAAATAAAACATTTTTTTAAAAGCCCTCAAGGAGATTTGTACCATGTATTTTATTAGACTGAAGGCAAAACAAGCTGATACCAGCAGAAAAAAAAATGGCTGCTTCAGACCCCAGCTGACCTCTTTTGCATGGAAAATTCTCCATATGATTACAGAGCTAATGAGTAATATTTAATGAAAACATTATGCCTTTGCATATATTTGTAAGCAGCACTTCTTCCATTTAAATTTACATAGAAATAAGCTGATACATATAAATCTGTGTATTTTAAGGAAAATACTCATCCACTATCTCTGGCTGTTTCTATACAGAGACCAAACTTCTCAATAAGAAAACTGTAGAATTCAGTCAATCATCCGGTTGACACCAAACATGCAAGTATCTGATGATGCGTGGATCAAACAGCAGAATGCCAGGCAGACTCCTGCACATTTCACAGAATGTTTTGGCTTTATGCAAACAACACTATATGAGAAAAAACTGGGCTAAACAATTGCTAAATAAATGCATGTGAAAAAAATCATTCAACTTCAAGAATCCCTAAGCATTTGAGGATAGAGACTTAGAACAAAGACTGTTTCTGGGGCTGCATATATTTCCTTTTCTGATGAGAACCTGAATCACAGTGGTGCTCCATTTGAAAACGGAAAAGCCTGTGACACCTTTCTCTCCCACCCTTTCTTTTCCCCTCTAGGTGGAGCTGACAGGCAGCAGTGTCTTTGACTATGTCCACCCTGGGGACCACGTGGAGATGGCAGAGCAGCTGGGCATGAAGCTCCCGCCTGGGCGGGGTCTCCTCTCACAAGGAACCGCTGAGGACGGAGCCAGCTCAGCATCTTCCTCCTCCCAGTCCGAGACACCCGAGCCAGGTGGGAATTGCAATCCCAATGCATAGGTTGGTGAGCAGGACCTTTGCCAATGATTGCACTCAAGTCACCAGTGTGAAGAGACTATAAATAGGTTTAATGGTATTTAACAATTCCATGCAGCTTTCTGTCCCGTGCAGTAATTACATAAGGAAGAGATTCGAAAATAAGGAGACATTTTAATAAGTATAATCCAGACATCTAATTTCAGTTGAACAATACATATGGAAGGTACTAGTTCCTTTAGTTTCCCTTTCAAATTACTGGAGGGAAAAGGTTCAGATTTGGAAAGCCCTCTTCCTTTTATTTTTACCATGGACTAAATCTAATGCATTTATTTATTATTCAGCAAAATCTATGGCAGAGGCTTCTTGAATATTAGCTTGTGGAGAATTAAAAGTATCACGGACTTGGAGAAATCTTGGTTTCTTTTTTTTTTTAAGCATCAGAAGGTACTTGAAAGATGTGAACAGATAAATTAAGGCTAAAAAGAAAACAGAAATGGCTACATTTTAAACTGCCTTTCCACCCTCAGTATTTAATTAGATCAATTGTATAGAGGAATGAACAGAGGTGACATTCCTCATTGGGATTCCTTCCAGGACTCTTATAGACTTTGCATTCAGAATGTTCCCATTTTCATTGTGTTGTACTGATGATAATTTAAGTATTAGGGGAAAATCCATTTATAAATTAAACAAAATGACTTGATATCCATCAGTCCCCTAGTTCATCAAGCTGTTCAAACACGGGGAAGATTGGCTGGTCGGCCTGGGTCTTCCGAGAGCGCTGGTAATTAGATCTGCGAAGGATTTATTCTGTGCTGATTGGGGCTTTAAATTAATTGAAGTTCCACATTTGTGGTTTTGTCCTTTTTGTACTTTTTTAGAGGAGATATTTCATATTCTTGTGTGGTGGAGTGCTTGGCCAAGCAGCAGTGGTTTAAATGTTAATTTTTCTCATGAGAAGTTTAAGATTTTTAATGAATCAAGGCCTGATTTGAAGTGCAAAGTTTTATTTGCTTACTTGGAAAATTATTTTTGCACTCTTTAAAGATGGTTGTACTTTACTTGAGATGTTGTTTTAAAACAGATTTGCAGCACAGAAGCATTTTATAGAAGGAAAAATGGAAAAAGCTATTTTAAGATTAATATTAAAATAACTCTACATACTTCCAAGACAATACTTTGATTTGACCTGTTTAGAAATACTCACAATGTGTTTGCTCACACGGAAGGGAAAAAACACATTTGCCTCTTGGGGAAATATTTTAATGGAATTCCATCTAAAACCAATCCATCTTTCCTCATTTAGGTTGACTGCAGCTTCTAGGGCATTATTCTCTAGCATTGGTGAGCATCCTTCTCCAATGAGCCCGATGCATGAGAAAAGGGAGTATTTAAGACTACTCTTTACCATTTACAAATGAAAATAATTTCGTTCCGGGTAGGGAGGTCATATGTTGTTATATCATATCTCACTGACTCTACTGAATGGATGTGTCGGTGAGATCACTGGAACTCCTTTTAGTCATTAGAACGTTCATGTCTGGTCATTTTGGGCAAGCAGCACATGAAAACAGTTTTCTCTCTTTCATTCTGGAGTTGGATTGGGGAGCCTGGCTTGCTCACAACTCTTTAACACTCAGTGTGTAAGAATTCAAGTTTCTAAACCTTTTTATGAACTAAGGCCTTGGAAAAGTGAACTTTGTTTCCCTGACTCACAAACTCTCAAGTTTAGAAGGATCTTCAGTGATCCTTGAAGCCAACCTCCAACCTATGCCGCCATCCCTCTACAGCAAAACCAACAGAGAACCTTCCATTCTCTGCTGGAACCTGCCCCTGATAGGAAGCTCACCAGCTTACAAGGCTGCCCACTCCATCGGTAAGCAGCTCTAATGGAAAGTTATTCCTAATATGGAGCCAAAATCTACTTTGCTGCAACTTCTCCCCACTGCTCCAAGGTCTGCCCTCTGGAACCGTGTTTCACATTTACTCCTTCCTCCCCATCAGTCTCTCAAATACGTGAAGTCAGAGATACCAAATCCTGCCTTCCTTCTCCTTTCCAGGTTGAATGGCCCTGATTCCACAGCAGTTGTTCAATGGCATGTTCCTAAGCCCCTCACCACCCTAGTCGCCCTCCCCCTGGCTGTCCTTCAGTTTGTTGGTGACCCTCTAAAAATGTGGTTCTGAGCATAGCCCTCTAGATGTATTCTGACTAGTACAAAGCTGAGGGACTGTCACCTTTCTTAGTCGAGGCTACTATACTTCTGTTAATGCACCCTAAGGTTGAATTCAGTCCTCCTGATGGCCAGGTGACACTGTTGATTCATACTGAGCTTGACGTCTCCTGAAACACATGTTAAGGGTGACTTGTCACTTGGAAGAGACTTTGGGAGAAAAAAGAATCCATAGCGTCTAAATCAGTTCTGCTAAGATATCCTAAGCTAGAGTCAAAATCAAACTAATTTAAGACTCAGTATAGGAATTACGCTAAGTCCCATGCCTTCTGTGAAGCACCAGTATGCATGAAACAACTCTGGGTACACTGTTAGAACTCAGTTCTCACTTAGCATCCTTTAATTCTGCATATTAGGAGAGTAACATATCTTCTCTGTTACCGTCCATCTTTGCTTTAAAGTTACTCTGTCATTTAACAATGAGATGTGATTGAAAATTTACTTGGGTTTCTTCCCCCTGCCTCCCAGCCTTCCTTGAGCCACCCTAACTAGTAAAATTGAAAACTCTTTCTACCTTCCTTAACGACTCGGGCTCATTAGCGACAGTTGCGTAAGAAGGGTTTCTCTTCCTTGGTGGTGAGTGTCTCTTACTTTACAGAATGTCAGACTGTCTTTGCCCTAAAAGTCTGTAGTCTGGGTTATTTTCAATCTTTGGCTTAAGAAGGCATTTAGATTGACTGCTCAGATTCTGAAAAGCAGTGTGTAGGGTGCTACCTTTAACTTAATATCTCCACTCCTGCAGATCATGGCTCCAAGGGAATTACTTTACAAGTTCATGTCAGGCACTACATCCCAAAGCCGCTTATGTTTCTTAAAAGCTGAAAGAATTTTAACGAGATTTCCTAATTCTTAATAACATGAAGGAATAGTTTTGAAGACTTGTTCGTTGCATCGCAATCTTTTAAACTCTGATAAAACACAGATTCTTTTTTAAATAGTAGTGTAAATTGGTTGGTAAAGGGATATCAATGTGTGGTGATCATGAAAATGGAAAGGACTAGTAGGTATGGAATTTCTCAGAAGCCCTGATGTGTTCAGTGTAGCATTACTAAGTGACTGCACTCTAAATAACATTTGGCATTACAATAAAAGGAAATAAGTGACTCAACCAGCCTAAGAGACAGTGATGTTGTGCCATCGTAGGAATTCTGTTTCTTTGAAGCGCCAGCCCTGTGACTATCTTGTCTTGAACCAGTCTCAAAATAATGAGAAAAAAAAATCTGTTGACAGCAAATCCCCCAAAATATTTTATGTGTATGCACATTTATTAATAGTTCAGTAAATATGATATTTCTTTTAGAGAAATCTTAAGGCAGGCATAAGACAATAAATGGGTGGCCTTGTTTAAAAAGTTATAAAGTTCTGGAGCGCCTATGTAGGGGTTGAGGCAAACATTTTGGGAGAGACTGCTCTGTGCTGTCCTGCAGGCTCCTGCAGTGTGAGGAGCAGAGAACCTCTGGAACATGACGTGTGGATGCTTCATTTTCTGTTTGTAATCCGCTTGTGTCTTTTCATTACTCTTAATAATTCTGTAATCTTGGGATTATGAGTGCTATCCTCTTTTTTTAATAAATTTCAGTGTCACATCTTTTAAATGCTTAATAAACAGGAAAGCAGCTCTTTCCAGAAATCCTGGAGGAACTTGAAAAGAAATCTCCCTATTTTGAAAACAAAGAATAATATTCCTTCAGTTAGGTCATCAAATTGTTCTGTTTTCTTCGCTCCTTCTTATTATTAAAACAGCTGGATTTTTTCCAATTATAAAATTCACACTCATTATGAAAGGTTCAGGGAATAAAGACGACTAACCAACATCCCACTACCCCAAAATAACCACTGTTCATGTATATACAATAGGTATCCTTCCAGATTTTGTTTCTGTATATGTGTATACATACATAGGTATGTCATGGGGTTTTTTGTTTGTTTGTTTGACTAAAATAAGACCATAACATACAGACCTGTTCTGGTAGCCTGCTTTTTCACTTAACCTCACAGGCAGCTTTCCTTGTCATGTTTCTCGCTTTAATGTAAAATTTCCTTTCTGTCTCCAGTGGTTTGTTTCCCACTAGCTAACAATCAGCTCCCAGCTGTAGGACCACTGCCGGGAGTAACATACCTGGGTCTTGCTTAGGAGAGAATTCGGCCGGGACAAGAGGTTCTTACAGCCTGCTGAATGGGTGCGAGCGCATAGAGGGCGAAATCAATACTGCACCAGGATTTAGACAATTTAGCAAACTGTATGAGACAGTACTTTTGGTGAAAAATAACTACAGCAGCATGATTAACCATTGGTTGTCAAAAATACAGGTTATTGTGTTTTGTCTGAAGTTTCAGGCAGATCTAGCCTGTTACAGAGGGTTAAGATAATCATTGTAGTCATATGATCTTTATGCTATTACGCCTACTCTGTGTCCTGAATCTTTTAAAGGCAAGCAAAATTGAAGCAGGAGAATCTTTGCCTGCATGGAAATAATCTGCATTTTTCTACGTATGCCTCTGTGCTGGGGTACATTTGATCAGCTCCTGATTCTACAGGAACTCAATTCCTCTGAATTTATTAGGTGATTTTCATAATAAGTGATATAATTAGAGGAACAAATGTTTAGGAATAGCAATAAAGAATGTAAAAATTTATCTGAGGATCAGATCAATATTTTCTTTTGAAAACTACTTAGATATGAGATACACTTGTACTTTTATGGGTGAATCATTTACTAGCATATGGGGGGGGGTCTTTGATTTCTTTTTTTTCTTTTTTTGT